AATGGCTTCCAGTGAAGGAAGAGTCGTTTTTTTAAATGTGCTGAGCCCTGGTAGGCGGACCACATTCCAGTGGATGTGCCCCACATCCATGAATATCTGAGCAGCAGAAACCGGACTCTTGGTGGGTTAAGTTTTAAAAAGGGGTTGAGTAAGAAGGTGGTTGTGGACCTGGGAGGAATGAAGGGAAGGAATAAGTGGGTGAATATGATCAAAATACATTGCATGGAATTCTTAAATAATTAATAAAATATGTTAAAAAAGAAAATTGACTTACGATATTATAAAACCTATGCATTTGTGAAAGAATATTTACTTAAAATTGGATTTGGTGGTGTTGAGATACTAACATCATTTTATTATTCCTTTGAGAAGAAATAGCCCTTTTATGAACAGTAAAACCTCATACAGAGAAAGGAGGGGTGTCTTAGTTCACTCCTTACAATATGAACCTGTTTTCTCCATTTCTTAGTGTGTCATAAATAAACTTGCAAGCATACAAAATGCTGAACTATGCATGTTAGGTTAAATCTGTGGCTTACTCTTCACTGCCAGCCTGATTAGATTAAGAAACAGCGATGCATTAGAGGTGAGCATCTCTGGATGTGTATGCGGCAGCCATTTGTAGGGAGGGAGGACTAGCAGAGGAGGATCTGCCCTGAATGCTGGCAATGCCATCCCACAGTCTAGGGTGTTGGACTGAATATGAGAAAAGAAGGAGAAAGCAAGTTGAGCCCTCTGAATCTTTATCTGTGGAGCTGTGAAGAGTCCCTGCCACATGTCCCCACTGCCATGAGCTTGGTCATCCTTTTCTAACCATCGTGCCCTGCATTTTCTGGGACCATGAGGTTCATCCTTAAGTTGCTTCTGTGAGGTCTTTTATTGCACAACAAGGAAGATAACTAAAGCATCTTAACATCTCTTTTCTATTAAATGCTGCTTATTGTATTAAATCAAAGTAACATGTTAGCCCACCCAAATCTTTTGAGTTTGCCTTTACATCTCTTCAAGGGTCAATTCATAAGAATTCATAAGAAACTTAAAAACTTGATAGCAAAAAATAATGGTGAAACATCATTGTTTAAAATGGAGATTCTGTCTCAAGGAAATCCCATCTCAAGGTGAATAGATAAAACAGGGCACCTGATGTCCTCCTCTGTCATCGTTGCCTATGGACTGCCCAGGCATGTGCACTGCACATATATGTATGTGTTTACATAGTACACACATCCCCCCATAGACATATACAATGGGAGATAGAGACATTTCTCAAAAGAACACATGCTAATCAACAGACACATGATAAAGTACTCGACATCATTAACTATCAGGAAAATGTAACTTAAAGCCACAATAGGATACTACTTCATTATTTTTAATGTGGCTATTACCAAAAAAACACAGAAGAAAACAAGTGATGATACAGATAGAGGGAAAAAGAACATACTCTGCAGGTGGAAATGTAAAATCAGTACAGCTTTTATGAAAAAGAATGTGGAGTTCTTCAGAAAATTAGTAATAGAACTATTCTGTAATCCAGCAACCCCAGCAATAAGCACAAGACCAGAGGGAAATTGGTTCAAAGAGACATCTGCATCCCCATGTAATTGTGACGGTATTCCCAATAACGGAGAAATGGAGTCAAATGGAGCATCCATCAACTGACGCATCGTGAAGTGAAGGATGGATGGCACATACACAGTGAAACACTACTCCATCCAAAGGGATGAGCTCTGCATCACAGCACCATGGCCAGCACTGGAAGGGAGTCTAAGTCCCACACAGAATGACAAACGCCACGGAATTTCACACAAACATGGAATCCAGACAGTTACCTCATGGAAGTAAAGAAGAGAGCCCAGGAGTGCTTAGCAGAGACAGGAGAGGACTAGGAAAGTCCAGTGGTGATGATGAAAAGAGGAGAGATAAGTCCTATTTCATGAGGAGAATTTCAATGTCCTCCCCACAAAGAGATGATATTTGGAGAGAGATATGTTTATCCTGATGTAAACATTACACAATGCACACATATACCAAAATATCACATGGTAACCCATAAATACACATAATTTTATATATCAAAAAGTCCTTGGAATTCTTTTAAAAATGCTTTGGCAGTTTAATGAAAATATAGACACTATGAACTATAGTACTCTTTTAGAACATAATTACATCCTTTAGACCAGAGTGTCTATAATTATGAAAGAAAAATACTCTACAAAATATATTTCTAAATTTCATGATGCGCAATGTCATAATGGGAGAAACAGCGTTCTCATTCACTGCTCAATGATCTTATTACTGCAATAACTAAAAAAAGAATGCTAAATATCTGTGCCCAAGGAAAACTCTCTCCAAATATGCACTAATCAAGCATAATGCCTGCCGTTTTTATTTTTATCCCACAGCTAGTAGGGAGAGCAATAAAAATTAAAAGGAATGTGGTATTTACATTTACTTTGTAATTAAAGGTCCCAGTATACACAAAATGTCAATGATGGTGTAGTGCCCCCAAGTGACAAAAGTATGAACTGCAGGACTTTGTTGGAAGTGTCAGAAGTTGTGGTCCATTTTGTCAAGTTCATTATCTCTAGAAGAGTATACTGCATAAACCTGTATTCCAAGTGTCATGCATCCCAGTTCAGGCCAGGGGAATATTCAAATCAATTCCTTTAATATTTAGTATTAGGGAGCTCTGCTTTGATCTGCTAAGGAAACAGCAGTCATAACATTATAGAAATCTTCGCAAGCATTCACCTTTGCGATCAAAACCTTATCTAATAACCAAATTTTAGGACAGTGAGGGGTGCCGATGAGGTAGTCTGCTCATAAACCAGAGGCTCATAAACCAGCAGTACAGGGGTGGGGTGGGGGGTCATTGTGAAAATTAATATAAAGCAGACTTAGGAACTAGAATATTCTTTTTAGAACATAATTCCATCTAGGAGTTGTCAGAACTTTAGCATTCACTCTGTGTGGCTAAAAGACCACCCTTAGGACTGAAGGAGAAAGTCCTTTTCAGACAGAGCATGGGATGCTTAATCTGTACTGTCAACCTGACTGAATTAAGAATGTACCTAGGTGGTGTATCTCTGGGCATGTCTGAGAAGGCGCACCCAGAGAAGTTTAACTGAGGAGGGCAGACTGGCCCCGAATGTGGGCAGCAGCATTTGATGAACTAGGGTCCTGGACCCAAAAAAAGATGGTGGGGAGAGAGCTGAGTCCAGCAATCATGTTCCTCGACTGTGGGAACAATGTGACCGGTTACTTCACACTTCCACTGCCAAGCCTTACCCTGATGGAGTACATTCCTTTGATTCCTGGGTCCAAACAAACTTTCCTTTCTCAAGTCGATTTGTAGGTGTATTGTCCTGGCATCAAGAAAATTAACAAATACACAGCATAACTCATGCTCTAAGAACCCAGGAAAACACCAGATTTCACACCTCTTCATGTGGAACTTAATGAAAATTCTGAATTCTAGGTAACTACAACCCGATCAAATGTTTTACACGGAGACAATTTTAAAAGTTGATCTTTAAATTAAACCATTGGTAACACTTTTATAATTCCTCCAACATAGCAAACAGAAGGTAATTTGTCATGCTGGTTTTCAAGCCATACTTGAATATCCAATGCGGAAAAAGCTGGAAGGGGTTTACAGGAGCCAGTGGGTGCTGAAGAAAACAGACTTTGGGACAGAAACTTGATCCTCCAGGGGCCTTTGTTTCCTCTGCGGGTGGGGGGGGGGCAGGGGTTTGGCAGTTTTGCTTGGCAGGCAGTCAGCTAGTCACAGGGACCCATGTGTCTCTGACTCCCAGCATGAAGATCCTAAGCACAGGCCACCACACCTAGCTTGTTTTATGAGGGTTCTAGTCACAGGGACCCTTGTGTCTCTGACTCCCAGCATGAAGATCCTAAGCACAGGCCACCACACCTAGCTTGTTTTATGAGGGTTCTAGTCACAGGGACCCTTGTGTCTCTGACTCCCAGCATGAAGATCCTAAGCACAGGCCACCACACCTAGCTTGTTTTACGGGTTCTAGTCACAGGGAACCATGTGTCTCTGACTCCCAGCATGAAGATCCTAAGCACAGGCCACCACACCTAGCTTGTTTTATGAGGGTTCTAGTCACAGGGACCCATGTGTCTCTGACTCCCAGCATGAAGATCCTAAGCACAGGGTACCACACCTAGCTTGTTTTACGGGTTCTAGCAACCACACTCAGGTCCTGTGCTTGCATGACAAACGCTTGGCCAACGGACCACCACCCCAGCCTAACCTCAGTTCCAACTAACTTTTAACTGCAACAGACAGAAAACAGATTAATCTAAAATGGACACTTAACTGTAAGAGAGGAGGAAGCTAATGGTATCAAGAATTCCCCCCTACTGTGAGAGTTTATAGGGTCTGAGCAAAATTAGAGGTGGCAAGGGTACCGTTAATGTGAAGTGATTTTGAATGAGGAAGATCTATTTGTTTTACATTTCTAGCTCCTGACTAGTTTCTGAAGAGCCCTTCAAAGAAACAAAAGAAAACACAGTCTTTCCCTCAGTAGCCCATTTACCTTGCATGTGAATTACTATTTGCTTTCCTTTTAAGGCATTCCTAAAAATAGTCATCATCTTGAAGAATTTGGCTTTTCAAATTGAGGAAGTCCCAACCAAGGTCAGTGGAAACACTTCGCCATTGAAACTGTGGCATACTTTAAAAAGTTATTTTTATGTAATTTACTCTATTCACCTTTTCTGGGTCACTTGAATACTTTATTTGGATCTGAAATGTGTATTGTTGCTGCTTTTTACAATCTTATCTAGGGCTGGGAGTATACCTGTTTTAGAGCAAAACCCTGTGACTTCAAGGAAAATGGGGGTGGAGCTATCTAAAGAGAAACCAGGAAAGGAACTTTTCTATGTTTATTAGTTTCTTGCAGATATGACACCATGATCTAAAATCAGCCTAGCCTGTGGCTACACACAGATTCGAACATTGCATTACTTACAGTTCCTCTCCCTGTTTGGCTTTCTTATCTGACACCAGATAGACAGTTCCAAAACTTCCACTGCCAAGTTTCTGTTGCAGAACATATCTTCTTGCAATCAAGGTAGCTGGATACTTGGAAATGGCTGTGGATCCACTCACACACTTAGTAGTCTCTTGGAATCTCAGCATTGTTCCAAGCATGTTAAAACCGGCTTGTTCATTCACACACACACAGTCAGGCCTCCCAGCTGATGATCAAAGAGTCAAACGAGAAGTGTTGGTTGATGCCGGAAATATGTAAAATCCACAGATCACGTCACAAAGCAGCTATAAGACTCCTACAAAAAAGTATAAGCTTTTGATAATGATACCTGCCCCATACCTTATGTTATCCCACCAGCTAGTGAGTGTGAGTGTGAGTGTGTGTGTGTGTGTGTGAGAGCCCATGCACATGCATGCACACGCATGTATTGGTGGGGTAAAAATACTGCAAACTCTAAAAGGTACTTTCTTATAGAAAGAAAGCCTTCCCTGGACTTACAAATTTTTAGTGACTGCTGAAATGTGTACATGTCTTATAATTTTCTGTTAAATATTTATACTCTCCATCAACTTAAAATATAATCCAAACACAGGACCCTGTGTTCTCTTAATGGACATATGGTATCCACTTTCTTGTGACAGTCCTTTCTGTCTACTTTGGCTTACAAACAAAGCAAATTGGGATTAAACTGTGAATTAACATATTCTGCTTTCCCTTGCATTTTTTCCATTTTTAAATCACAGCTGCTTAGTTTATTAGACTAGATATATGAAGGGATATTAATTCAGAGTGGTTTTTTCTTCCTTTCATCCTAAGCAAAATCTGATTCCATTTCTATTATACTGGGTGTAGAGTAATCTCCTAGAATTAAAAGTAACAAAATGCAACTCAGACTTAAAACTGAGTTTTAAAGGTAGCTGAATACAAATGTATTACAGGTAAAACCATAACTCCTCAAGGAGCCATGAACTGTATGGCAGTTAAGAATGGCAGAACTGTTTCATGAGAAGGTATTCCACACCTTTATTCAAGTGTTAAATGTTTTACTGAAAATTTTGCTTATTTTAAATCTGTATAAAAATATTATTTTACACTGAATACTATGTATTTCATAGTCAACAATTTCAAAGCAACAAGAAAAAAAAAACACAAAACTTACCAGGACAATAAATTTGCAGAACAGAAACATAAGACCCAGTTATAATATTGTCTTCTTTAAATACTGTACTAATTGTTGTGCAATCCAGTCCCAGTGAAGAGGATATGTTGATGAGGGGGCAAAGAAATGTTAGGAAAAATCTACAGCACCTAAAGAGTAGGCATCTAAAAGGTTTGCTATTTGACTGACATAAAAGTGTGATTTCTAGATAAAGTAAGCTGTTTGGGAAAATGTGTGGCCTAACCAAAACCTTTCAGATAATAATTCTCCTTAATGAGGAGAGATTGAAGTTTAGTGAAGGACAGAACACAAGACGGAGGGCCAGAAGCTTCTATTTGTAATAGAGAGAGAAACCCAACAGTGTGTAAGCATCCCCCGCCCCCAGCTAATCTCAGACTCGGCTCCTTCACTCTCAATCCTGTCCATAACCACAGAATGTCCGTATACTGCATCCTGGATCTGATACTAGGGCAGGGGATGACCTTGGGTGCTGGGAACACATGTTATCGTTGTATCCCTGGTGCCTGACTGACTAACAGCCAACACACAGTATCAGTAAACATTTGGAGAGCAAGGGTCCACAAAACCAACTGTGGTCCACAGACAGAAAAGGAAAGACAGCCTGATGAGGTCTTGGAGAAAGCGGAGAAATGTCCACATTGTGCTAATCATCCCAAGTAAAACGACCCATCCCGCTGAGGCAGGTCAAGGAAAACCCAAGTGTTGTCGCGGGTGGGATATGCCCACATTAGGAAGCCGCCCTGACTTCGGGTTCTGCTAAATCTGACCTGAGAGGTAAACTCTAACCACGAGGTAAAAGAACAACTTGCTTAATTTTCGCAAAGCAGGCGAATGTATATAGTGGGGCTAGGAGCTTATTCCCCCGAGGGTTAATGGGCCCGGGGGTTGCAGGGTCTGCTGCCGAGCTGCACTTTAGTTACCTTTCCAGGTCCCTGACGAACGACGCCAGGCCTCACGCCTCAGTTTTAAGCTCCTAGCCTCAGGCGTGGTTGTTTGACGCGGTCGCCACGGAGACGGCGCGGGGGCTGCTGGGAAGCCGGGGTTCGGCCACAGCGGAAGCACCTGAGACCCAATGAGGCAGAGCGGAGCGGAGGGGGCGAGGCGGGCCGAGCGTCCCTGAGGAAGCTGCCGCAATCATGGGACAAACATCTCAACCTTCAACACCAAGTTACCGCCTCCGGCCGGAAAACCCTTCCCCGCTAGCGGCAGCACCCTTAGCTTCCCGAGGCCAGGCTTCCCAGGGCCGCCGATCCAGGGCACTTCCGGTTTCCGCTCGGGGTCTTCAACTCATCTCCGGACCTGTCAGTTCACCCTAGGCTCCTACGAGCTGCTGACGAAGGGAGTGGGCCTCCGGGAGGAAGCAGAAGGTGGGTTGATAGGGCTGGGGTGGCTTGGGGTAGGAAGATCTGTGTTTGAGGAATTAGATCCTAGCTTTTGGGCACCTTTGCCCTACCTGGCTTGCATTGGTTGAGCTACTCCACGCAAGGTCATGTCATTAGCTTGGGTTTATAGAAACCACCAGACAGACCGGAAAAGAAATTACTATTCAGAATTAAAAGTGCTGAGGTGCTGGCCGAGGTGGATCTAAGTGAGGTGAAATGTAAGCAAATGCCCAAAACAAATATTCAGGGTGATGAATCTCAAAAAATCAAAATGCAATAATTCACTGGGCGTTGGTGGCGCACGCCTTTAATCCCAGCACTCTGGAGGCAGAGGCAGGCGGATCACTGTGAGTTCGAGGCCAGCCTGGTCTACAGAGCGAGTTGCAGGACAGCCTCCAAAACAATATAGAGAAACCCTGTCTCGAAAAACAAAAAAACAAAAATTCCAACATTGGCAAAAAAAAAAAATCACGATTTTAAAGAAAGGCAAGGTCGATAATAGTACCATGTTAAGCTATATTTGAAGTCTGAGGCCAGAGAAAAACCAGTAATACCAACCAGTCCTATGAGTTGTTAGCCAGAAGAAGATGTAAATAATTGGTATTGAAATTGGATAGTTGGGGGTCTTAGAAGCATAAATCTGTAGTTTTTACTTACCCCCAACTGCTATCCACTGGCCACCATGTAAGCTTTACACCCCACACTCAGGACCTGTAAGAAGAGTCTTATTCATAATAAAGAAAAATTAGATTGTTATGTGCCCTACACTGAGATTTATAACATTGATAAGGGTGTCATTTTTATAGCTTAGGACTTTTTGCCTTGACCCTCACCAAACAGATACCCAGTCTTATAAAGTGGAAACATTAGTAGCAAAATCTGTAGAATTTCTATGTTGGTGTGACCATAGTGTTCATATGAGGCCAACCAAAGATCAAACCCCATGAAACGAGTTTGTGTCTTGCACCACACAAGGAAAAATATTGTTAGATATGCTGACACCCAAGACAGTCTATTTAAAGAGCATGTCTCATTTTCTATTAAAGCAATGATCTGGTACCCCAAAAGGCATTGTACTAGTCAGAATTCTCTAGAGAAACAGAACTGATAGGATCTGTGTACACACACAGAGATTTATTAGAGTGGCTTAAAGTCAGTGGTCTGACAATTCTTTTTGGTTTTTCGAGACAGGGTTTCTCTGTATTGTTTTGGAGACTGTCCTGGAGCTCACTCTGTAGACCAGGCTGGCCTCGAACTCAGAGATCCGTCTGCTCTGCCTCCCAAGTGCTGGGATTAAAGGCGTGTGCCACCAACACCCGGCATAGTGGTCTGACAATGCTAACAATGGCTATCTCCCAAGGAAAAGTCCAAGAATTCAGTAGTTGTTCAGCCCATGAGAATGAATATCTCAGCAGGTCTCCAGTATCCACCAGAATGCTGAAGTAGGCTCTAATGCCAGGGAAGGAATGAACTTGCCAGGGAGAGTTAGAGAAAGTGGGCAAAAAGCAAGAACTTTCTTTGTTCATGTTCTTTGTGTAGGCTGCCACCAGAAGGTGTCGTCTAGATTTAAGGTGGGTCTTCCCACCTCCAATGATCCAATTAAGAAAAATCCCTCACCAGTATACCCAACAGCTTGAGTCTTGGTTGATTCCAGATATAGCCAAATTAGCAACCAAGAATAGCCATCAGAAGCACCACCCATTCAAATTGTGTTTTTCTTATTGTTTCGACAGGTATTTCTGTCAGTCATCATGGGCATCCGAGGACTAATGAGTTTCGTGGAAGATTATAGTAATGAATTCTTCACTGATTTGAAATTGCGGGACACAAAAATTATCATTGATGGCTATTCTCTTTTCCACCGACTTTGCTTCAATTCAAACTTGGAACTCCGGTATGGAGGGGACTATGATTCATTTGCAAATGTTGTACAGAAATTCTTTGAATCACTGTTTGCTTGTCATATTTGTCCATATGTTGTATTAGATGGAGGATGTGACATTTCAGATAAAAAGCTTACAACTTTGAAGGATAGAGCTAGAGAGAAGATCCAAGCGGCCCATTCCCTTTCTGTTGGTGGGGGTGGGAATGTGTGTCCCTTGCTCATCCGAGAAGTGTTCATACAGGTTTTGATCAGACTTAAGGTATGTTTCGTCCAGAGTTTTTCAGAAGCAGATCGAGACATTATGACACTTGCAAATCATTGGAATTGCCCTGTGCTATCATCAGATAGTGACTTTTGCATTTTTGACCTGAAAAGTGGGTTCTGCCCACTGAATAGCTTTCAGTGGAGAAATCTGAACACTGTTAACAATACACAAGATTACTATATTCCTGCCAAATGCTTTTCCCTTGACGCATTCTGCCATTACTTCAGCAACCTGAACAAATCTCTGTTACCTCTGTTTGCGGTGCTGTGTGGAAATGACCATGTTAATCTGCCCATCATAGAAACATTCCTAAGTAAAGCACGTCTTCCTGTTAGTTCTAAGGGGAGGAGGTATCACCGAGTTCAGGGACTTCTGAACTGGTTGTCTCATTTTGATGGCCCCGCCGAAGCACTAGATAATGTTCTGAAGTATCTCCCCAAAAAGGGCCGAGAAGATGTTAAGAAACTTCTCTACTGTTCCATGGAGGAGTACCAGCCATCCCAGGTGAAGCTGCAGGACTTCTTCTGCTACGGTACTTATGTCTGTCCAGACACTTTGAATCTGGACCTACCAGAGTGGGTACTGGTAGCTTTAGCCAAAGGCCAGCTACCACCTTTCATCAGTGATGCTTTGGTGCTCCAAAGGACCTTTCTTCACACACAGGTAGAAAATATGCAGCGACCAAATGCCCACAGAATAGCTCAGCCCATCCGGCAAATCATCTATGGGCTTCTTTTGAATGCCTCATCGAATCCAGAAAATATGTCCCAGAAGACAGTGCCTTCTCAGCCTCTGGCTTTCAACGAAGTGGAAAGGATTAGTAAAAATATCAAAACATCAGTTGTTTATGCAAAGCAACTGCTCAAAGATCATTCTGACTTGAGCAAATTGATTGAGGTAAGTTTGTAAGACTAATGAAATTCTTAGATATCTCTTTTTAGATTATAAGTTGCTTTCATATGTAGTGTCTCTTATTTGTTCCCATCATGCCTTCCTGTTGTGTGTGAACTCCAGTGAACTAGGTAATCTCTTAGCTAGGGTTAGTACTAAGATATAAATCTAGCACTTGTGGCACTAAATTTGCTCTTCTCGGTGTTCTTCAGTAGCCTGTTTCCTTTGCAGTTACCATATTATATTGATCCCAACTAGAATAAGGTTATATAACTTTAAAAAAAAAAAGAGGAAAAGGAAAAATTCTGAACTGCAAAAGGAGTGTGCATGTAGGCACTTGATATGAGCATAAGAGCATCTTAGATTATCTCCAAGTTAAGGTGCTTCTGCCTAAAGGTTTTATTAATGAGGACCTTTTTTCTTTAGGCTAAAGGGTTGTGGCATCATGGTGACTTGCTTAAACTGATCCCTAAACACATGTCTTAGCCTATCTTGGTATTGCTTAAGTCTAAGTAACACTCAGATCAGTCATCATTTCAAGGAAGAAAATGTTCTCATGGATCCCAGTGTTGCTTTTGCTTTTGATAATATGTAAATATATTAAGAATAACAGATATGAAGCTGATAACACAATTAAACATACAAACTAAATATAAATGAACTTATAATGGCATTTGCAATGCCCACTGGGGTTTTTTGTTTGTTTTTAGCTCCAACTAAATATTCACTCTCAGACTCATCATGTTATTGGCACAAACTTACTCGTGTAAAGGATAGCAGCCAGTTTCCCTGTGGTGGTGATCAGACTTTACTGGCTTCCAGTTTGATCCCCAAGGGGACATGTGATAGTGGTCGTCACTTCCTAGGGAGTGGAAAGGGTGGAGTTGCCACTGAGATCTAGTGGGGTAAAGCAAGGGTGTTAAGCTTCTTCGAATTAACAGATTGGTATCCCCCACAATAACTATGTGACCCAAAATGCCCATTGTGCATTTTTAGCCTCTTCACTAGTGACAGCAAAAGCGTAAGGAAAGGAGATTAATAAGTCCCAAAAGTATCCTTGGCACTGGGAATGAACTACTTATAGAAACAGTGCTTTCTTTGGAGGTGATGAAAATGTTCTGGGATTGATAATGGCTGTACAAGCCTTATGTATACTAAAACTATTGGACTGTGTGCGTTAAAGGGGTTGAATTTTCTAACAATGTTATTTATAGCTCAAAGAAAACAAGAGTTTCAGTTAAACTTCTTCCCCACAGGATTTAATCTGTACATATACTTTATAAAATGATCTTTTCCAACAGGCATCTTTTATTCAGTGTATCTGTGAGACTCACAACTGGTTCATTTTCTCCCTGCTGTAAAACTCACTGCATTGTGGGAATTAATATACCAAGAATGACTTTTCTTCTGGGTGGTTTCCAGTTGTGCTGTCTCAGACACTGCCAGGAATACTGTGGTGCACATCACCT